ACCACTGGCATCATCTCAGCCTGAGCAATGACCTGTTCGTGTCTATTGCTTCCGGCACCTCGAACCCGAAGGCAACTGGTTTGTCAAGCCTGGGGGAAATCACTACGGCTCCGAACGATGCGACTCCTGCCTCATACGCCCCGTCAGTGAAGACGAGGCAGGGTGGCTCATTCGACAGGGCTTGCAACCTTCTTGGCAGCGCCTTCCTCAGCAGCTGTGAAGCTAACTCGAGGGAGCTGAGCAACTCACTTGTCACGAACTTCACTGCTTTGCCCATCAGGGCCCTCTGTTTCACGGGCTCTAGAATGGGGGCCAGCCATCGTCCAGCATTGGGCCTCTGCGAAGTTGAGCCTACCGTACACCTTGGCCGCCATGGACGGAGGAAAGGACCTCATCAGCCGCACTTCGTTGACAACTGTGTCTAACTCCTCAGCCCTCTCGGCTTTGTTCTCAACTAGAACTACACCTTCACTGGCCTGTCCCAAGTCTACCGCTACGCCTAGCGCCACAAACTGCTTGGCGCAGGAGGCGCTTCTTTGGTTCCTCAGCTATCGCCCAGCCCAGGATCCTCATGGCCTCCTTCATGGCCACTTGGGATCTGATGGCACTGAGTCCACGTGATGGGGGAAATCATCAAAATAGTTGACCACTGGCAGCATCAGGAACCTCTGAAGGATGTCCCTGATGGCTCTTGCGGCCCTGTTGAAGGCCATCACTGCCCCAGTGGCTCTGAAAGGGAGCGCACAGGATACGAAAAACTTCACCACTTCGTCCTTGGGGTCCAACACCGCAATGACAGCGTTACTTCTATCTGAGGGTGCAAGGGCTGACTGCTTGTACGCTGACTTGAGGTCAAGACATCGCCCACTCAATGCCATGGGTGTTCTTGAACTCCTCGGCTTTGGGGGCCTCTAGAACCATACCCGTCGAGAGTTGCACCCGCACTGTGTCACCGGCCTGTCCACCCACCCTCATCCAGGCTGCAGCCAATGAGACTACCTCATCGACTCCGCCCAGATCAAGTTTCTCGCCTGGCCCATAGCACTGGTTGATCGAGAACTCACTGAGGTCGTCAATGTTTCTCTCTGCGCCCCTGAACGATGCCAAAGCGCCTACTGTGGGCCAACCTTCTGCCCACTTGCTCGGCTGAGAGGGGTCCCTCCAGGCAGCCACACTCCACCTCTTTGATTGTCGCCGGGCAACGTCAACCTCTGCACCTGCAACCTCGACTTGCCTCCCAGCTGGTTGCGGCCCAGATCGCCTTGGATCTCCTCACTCATGAGTTTCCATGCCCTCCGGTCTGCCACGGTCAGCTGTGCCAATGTCACTTGGCTGTAATCCATCGGAGGCTCTCGCTGGTACTCTTGGAAAAGCTTGTCTACCAGCTTCTCGTGAACCGTATAGGTCATCACATCAGCCACTTCCAATGCCAATCCACGGCGGGTGTAGGCCTGCCGCAAACGGAGGTCTGTCCTGGTGTCTGCTTGACCTCATCATGGGCCCTTACTTAGTGGCATCCCTCTTGATGAGCTTCTCAGTCTTGATGTTCTGTAGCTCCTGATCTCTGGTCGGGATCTCATGGGGTGTCTTCCACCCTCATGCGCCGGCTCCAACTCGTCACTGATCTGGAGATGTGCATAGTTCGCCCGCAGCTGAGCTCAGCGGGTTTTCCTCTCGACCGGAGGCAGCTTCCGCGTCTTGCTGCCGTCGACCTCTTGCGTGCCCTCCAGGCGCTGCTTCAGCTCAGCCGCCACCACTGTGTATGCTTCATGGTACAGCTTCCTGAGCTTCGGGGAGTCGGCGTGGTCAGCCCTCCCCAGGATCGGCGTCACCACCTGGGTAATGAAGGCGGTGTCATCTCCTGCACCCGGAGCCAAGCTGCTTGAAAACGCGAAGGTTGTCCATCCTCTGGCCGCCATGGCGTCCTTGTAGCTATCTAGCCCCAGCTCCTTGAGCTTTGCTTCAAACACCGCTGCGGACTCCGTGAGAGTCGCCATGGCTTGATCAGATCGCGCCCTCTGTCACTGAGCCTCACTTGCTCTGTCAAACACTTTACAAACAATGCACTCCGCCGATGAACTACCCTTGACTCACCTACGATCTCACTAGCCACCTTTTACCTGATCAGCCCGGCCCCGGAACCACTCCTCCCGGCGGTCCTCTTCGGCGCACTTCCATCGACAGGACGTCCCTGCCCAACTTGACCTGGCTCCGGACTACCCAGCGGAGAGGTCTAGACTGGGAACTTCTCCCAGCTTGGCACTTCACTTCACTTGGTGACTTATGATGTGTATAATATGGGGTTGCCTCTTACTTCTACGGGCCATGGTGTACAACTGTTCCCAGGCAGCCGCAAAAACCTCACTGTACTTTTTCGCTGGCGGGTCATCGACATCTCAGGCACTTCACCTGAGGTAACCTTCGCACACTTTACAGCGACTTCCTACACCGTGCACTTCTTCAGCGAGCTGAAACATTACTGCAGAGATCGGCCTTCCACATGCGAGCTTGCCCTCGATCGTGCTGCCTCGATGGATCGCCCCTGTCAGTCCGCGCCTGTAGCTCAGTGTTGGACTCGTCCTAGCCTGGCCTGCGCTACTGCCTCGAGGTTCCTCTCAACCTCACTGTCCTGGGCCTCATCCACGGTCTCCTCGTCCTCGCTCGACGACTGATCTGCCTCCACCAGCCTATTTACGAGGTCCTGTCAGGAGTTGGGACTTCATGCGTCTGCCACTTGTTCTCGAGCTCGGGCAACAGTGCCTCATTCTGATCATCACCTTCTCGAGCCTCTCGAGACTCACTTGCCACGGCGTCCATCCCCGCAAAAGCGACTGTTGCGGGGTGCATCAGGCCTGAACCTGCCTTCATGGATGTCGGTGATGATCGTGGTGAGGCTCTGCAAGCCTGCTGCCAATGCATCCCTGCTGTAGATGAGGACCGTCTTGTCTTTTGTGGTACCCCATCAGGCGTCTCACCTTCTCTGGGATCATGTACTTTGCCATCCAAGACAGTGCAGTGGCCCTGAGAGAGCGCGCTCCAACGTTGCCCAGTTGGCCCGGGCTCAACGAGCACTTCTTCAAAACCTCGCATAGCCACACCGTCGCTTCTGATGCGGAGAGCCTGGCATTGCTCCAACCTCCTCCAGGCATTGGGGTGGGGAGGAATGGTTTCCCAGGCAGCCCACGTAGCCCTGAAATGTCTCTAAGCTTCAGCAGCATCACTGCCCAAGCTGCTCCAGTCCCGCCCACCTCGGGCGCCACCACTGGAAGAACTCTGCATGCTCTACCTGCGATCGAGTCGGTCTTGTGAGTGGGCTTCTTTTTTTTTGAAAGTAGCCGCCCTGGACCACTTGGATGTGTTGGCTATCGCCAAACCTCAGCCGCCCATAGATGCACACCAGGCAGTGTCCTGCAAAGATTCTGTCCTGTATTGGGAAGGACTGCTCGCAGACCAGCCTTCCCAGGATGCAGACTTGATGCACTGTCAACGCATCCCTCTGCCTCAGGACTCGCTTGGTCAGGAAGGTCCGATGTGCAGACCCTGAGATCCTAGCACTCTTCAACACTTCATCAACGCCTTCCAGCTCCAAGGTGCCCTTGCAGAAGGCCAAAGCGCTTCGAAAGCTGGCTGCTCGTGTCGCTGGTGCTCCATGCCTCCTCAATTGGTCCACATACTCATAGCACTGGTCCTCTTCGAGGGGAAACGGATCACGACCTTTTGCACAGGCCCACCTGATGTATAACATCATGGCACTCAGCCTGACTTGCAGTGTGCCACTCTTCTTCTTTGCAAAGACGTCGTCCAGGACTTGTTCTCCGCTCTGCCTCACTCGAGTACCGACCTGCCTCGGCTGTCGCGAGTTGCCACCCAGCTAGAACCTTCTCTCTCTCTTCCTCCTGGGCCTTGTCCCACGGGAGCCTCGTTCTATCCTTCAGGACGAAGCTGGACTTCACTTGGGCTTCAACCTTCTGTTCACTAGGCGGGTCAACGTTGATGTCCATGGCTTTTGCACTTCGTGAACTCTCTCGCAGGCGCTCCATGGGGAGGACATTGGATCGTGGGTTGAGAACCAGACCTGCAAAACCACGTTCCCATGGCATGCGGAGACTCTCGGGTACGAACTTCCGCAGCTTCTGTTGCTCGCTCACTATCACGTCGAACTCATCCTTGTCAACTTCCATTGCCACCGGCGTAGGCGCAGCTGTAGATGACGAGGGCGCTCCTCCATCAACCGCATGCTTCAGCTGCAGTAGCGGGCTCACTGGTCCTTCAGCCTCTGTAGGCGAGCACTGCTCTGTGGGGGGATTCTCCACCATCTTCTCCTCGCATTGCCTCCAGCTCGCGAACTCGCTCTGCCAGCTCTACCAAACTTTCACCTGGGGCACCCTCTTCTGCGTCACTCACCATGATGGCCCCTCCGCACCATCCCCCTGTCCAAAGGGGACATCTTCGTCGCTCGCATCCAGGTTCATGGCAAACGAAAAAGGTACGGCGGGGGCCACTTCTTACTTTCAGCCAAAATGGCCAATGCGCACACCCATTCTCTCACAACTGTTCACTCGTTATTGTTTCGTATGTAAAAGGCACTATTACTACGTAACAGCATGGATATATATATATATATGTGTGTTCAAATACATTTCCCTAAACATCAATGCGAGGGGTTCTTGAAGAAAGCTCCCCCCGCCGAAGAAACCTGAGCTGAGAGTGCGTCCTGGCGAGTAGTAGTCTTATCTCCTAGATACTAGATGATACTAGTAATAGTCTTACTACTAGTACTAGTAATAGTCTTATCTCTAGCTAGTCTTGCGTCCTGCTTACTAGTGGTCTACTGGCTAGTCTATTATCTCTTCTCACTTAATTACTTCTAGCTTACCAAGCCTTGCAAGCTACTCCTCCTCGTCTAACGGCCTTCCCCAGCCTTCCCTACCCCGAAAAAAAAAGTTCGACGTACTTTCCAGACCTTCAGGCTACCTTTGGGCCCATCTCGGCCCTCCGTCCTTTGTTCCAGTGCCCTGTTCCAGGGACACTTGACCACCCTTCTTTCCCTGGCAAAGACGGACAGATCACCATGTTTTTGGACAAGCAAGTTCTGAAAGACACACCATCAACATCCTTGTCCAGCTTGATCAGCTTGGAAGTTTGATATGGGTTCAGCACGCGCTTCAAACAGGCCCAAGGGAATTCAGCATGGACCCAAGCGGACCTTCGACTGCTCTTTGTCTTCCAGAGCCAAAAGCTCCTAAGCAACGAAATCAAACATTTCGGACACTATTGGAGGCGCCAGCCTACTTGTTGTGAGATAGCAGGTATGGAATGGTTCAGAGATCCGTCTAAAGACTGGCTGGGAGATGACGTGTTTCGTTGCTGCAATGTGGGTATTGGATGGTATTGGGATTAGTTGGGATTAGGTTTTCTTCTCGGGTACTGTCTCTGGTTAAAAATTTCCTCAGCTTCGTCTGCGGACATTCTTGTCAGCGGGCCTGTTTTGAAGACATGTGTCTTCGTCAAGCAGAAGCAATATAGAGAGAGTAATTAAACGTCACGCATCCTACAGCAAAGGCTGCGCCCTCTCTCACTATTTTCCGGCCAAAATTTATTTGCCCCTGAACACCCTCTGCAAAAGACACCTTGTATGTCACGTATATCACAGCAAGCATCCACCCATAAAGTACTCCCACCACCCCACCCCACTCCATCCCTGAATACGAGCAGGTGCACAAGCACGTCAAAACAAAATACGATTGGTGTACGTACGACTTGACTGCCACATGTTCTGGAAAAACCTTGGTGGAAGGAAAACTGCGAAGTTGTCAAATTCCAGCAAATCCAACTGACGACCTACCTAGCCTATACCTTGCCCGAAACAGCCTTGGTTCTACAATGTTCTACAGGAGGAGGTAGTCAAAAACGCCTCAACCGTCAGCAGGTACACAGAGGTGATCAACCTCCGCTTCCCCAATTGTGGAATAGTTTCGTTGGCATTGGTATCTAAGATGGGTTTCTGATCCTGCTAAATTGCAAGTGTGGAAATTGAAAACTTCACAAACAGCCCGAAGGCAACCTATTCTAGGGCGCAAACACACTTGGATGGTTGCTCGCAAGAGCTAGTTATCAGTTGACGAAGTTCCAGAAATTAGTTACTGACTACCTAGCACTTTAGTTACTGAATACCTAGGAATGAATGCTGGGTCGGAGAGAAGAATTGTTTAACAAACGCAGTAGCCCTTTACCATGCTTCCATACATGAACCACCATGAAAGCAAACCACAGCGAGAACAACAGGTAACTAGTTCTGCAGGTACGTTTGCGCGGGTCCCAGAGGAGGTCTTCGTTGGCCACCGCTCATCTGGGACCCCGGTGGCCCCGTGCTTGCAAATGAGACATGAAGCGCAAAACCTTGGAGACAGGTGTTGACACACACACACACACAAAAAGCCGTAATCGGCGCTCACGAAGACGGGTGGAAAAGGACGGAGAGAGAGGGACCGGGGAACAAAGGAGGTGGGGAAAATGGGAATACTCGCATCGGTTTTTTGAAGCACTCGATGTGACAAAGGTGAAGGTCATGTCTTTTCTTTGTCTTCGGTCTGCCAACCCATGTCTTTAGCCAGCTGTTGAGGATCTTCCTTCAGCGAGAGGTCGAAGCTCTTTGGCCGTGGCTTGAAGCACAGGGTCATTTCCATCCAGGTCGTTCATCAAGGATGGTTTCCTACATACTTGCTTGCTCGACTTTGAGGAAGTCGAAGTTCTCGAAATGCACCCCGCTCTCTGCAAGACACAATCTGTTGAGTGATCACTGATGCCCCATCTGGCGAGTTGGAGTTCCCAGTTTCTTGAGTTTCTTGTCTCACACCCTACGTAGGGTCACGGGCTCGGTCGACTACCTTTGCCGAGTGTTGCCGACGACCGCCAGAGGTCAGACTGACGTGGGGTTCAGCATCACTAGACAAAGTGTCCGCCGCAACCGCCTGCCGAGACGAAGGCGACGGAGTCAAAGTTGAAGAAGCCGTCGAAGTTGGGAGGCTCGTAGACGGAGCTGTGGTGAACTCCGTTGAGGGGGATTCTGGGGGTGGATCTGGTGGGGCATGAGTTTGTGCTGCTTGAGAGGGCTCTTGAGAGGGCTCTTGAGGAGGGGATGTGGATAAATTGGTGGGATTGGCAACTGGACGTGCGGGGTGGGCTGGAGGGGCTTCCTGTGGTGATATCGACTGGGTGGGATGTGAGGGAAGCTGAGCTCATGGCGTCCCGGTGAGAATCGCGTCAAACGGTGTGAGTGTCACTAGTGATCTGTACATGCACCCCGCCTCGATTACTTAGCCGGAGCGACCTATCCATGAACCTGGCCTGTGAATACTTAGCAGCATGACGTGGACATGTCAATATTTGCAGCATGCGGAAATCCAAACTGCGGCATTTGATCAGTGGTATCATGCAATGCAATCGATCAAGGAGGTTGCACAGTGAAGTCCCAGAGCAGAGACGGAGCAATCAGGGTAGGTCCCCGAGGATCTGCCTATGCACATGCTGACCCCCTCGATGGGGATCACACCACAGCCCTCAGTGGGACTCTGTGGCGACACACACTTGGATGGTTGCTCGCAAGAGCTCGTATCAGTTGACGAAGTTCCAGAAATTAGTTACTGACTACCTAGCACTTTAGTTACTGAATACCTAGCCCTTGACTTGCAGAACGGAATGAATGCTGGGTCGGAGAGAAGAATTGTTTAACAAACGCAGTAGCCCTTTACCATGCTTCCATACATGAACCACCATGAAAGCAAACCGCAGCGAGAACAACAGGTAACTAGTTCTGCGGGTCCCAGAGGAGGTCTTCGTTGGCCACCGCTCCTCTGGGACCCCGGTGGCCCTCTGCTCGCAAATAAAACATGAAGCGCAAAACCTTGGAGACAGGTGTTGACACACACACACACACCGTACGATGTGATTGCCCCAAACCCTGAAGAAACCCCGGTAAAAAGGGACACCTGGGTAACGCAAAGGGGTCCAGCCTGCCGCCTGCAGTAACGAAGGTCCACGTTCAAACACTCTCAAAATCAAAATTTCAGGGAGATCAACATCTCGAGGCTCAAAGCACCGAAGTGTCACGACGGTCGGGCGATGAATGCAAGTCTGCAGAACTCAGTACTGTAACCCTTTACTGCGCAACAGTGGGAGAGAGAGTGAAGATGAAGGAAATGAAGAACAACAATTACTTTACTTCCAGTGATCCCCACCATGACATTTTAAACTGGTAAGTTTTCTGAGATGTATTGAAACATTATTTGGGAGTTGATCTAAATTCTCTATCCGGGATCCGTCATTTTCACCAAAAAATACTTTAGTCAAACAAGTATGTTGTATTTCGGTGTGCCATGTATGTTGTGTTTTGTTCACGTCAATGGCTTCTTCTTTACTGGCAAACACAAAATAGAAACTTCACTGTTTGTCAGCATGTGTCTTCTACTTAACTGTTGACACCCTGTACGTCTCTTTTGTTTCTCCTGGGTGTCAGCAAGAATCACTGTAGTAGCCGGTCACTCAAACTTACTCATAATGGGCTGGGGGTCAGATGTGGCAGGGTGAACTTTCGCCAATCTTGAGCTGAACTTTCGCCAAACTTTCGCCTCATGCGGGGTAGAGTTTTGTGGCAAAGCCACCCCCCCAAAGCAGGAGCAGGAATAGTAGTAGTAGTAGTAGTAGTAGTAGTAGTAGTAGTAGTAGTAGTA